AGCAACACATGATCAAAATTCAGACATTTGTCCACTGACTCATATTTGTGACCATTGCAGGTTGTGTGATCCCCTTTGCAACCTTCTGGGGAGTAAAATCCATGGGGAAACCAGATTCACTCAACAACCACACTACTAACTTAATAACGGAGGGTGATTCACTTAACAACAGAAAGGTGTCAGATGAGGCAACACACACTTTGCAACTGTCTTGCTTAGCAACATAAATTTTGGGTTCAGTTGGGGTTGTAAGGCGAGGAGGAGTGCCTGTAATGTGATGTCTCTTGATTCGCTTGAAAGACTCAGTGGTCCAGCTGTCCACCTCCACACACACACACACACACACACACACACACACACACAGAGGTCAATTTCTTCCCAGAGGTCTATGAAAATGCAAATGTTTGTTTTGGGGTAGGGAGGAAATCATAAGATGTGAAATGTGTCACTGTAATGCAGCTTTTTCCCTGGGCATATTAAATGTCACATTGATGTGAGAAATCAGAATTGCAACTGTGACATTCCTCAGGTCCTCCTGGCTCCTTTGCAGGGGATGCTAAGCTTTCTGGAATGTTTGTTGCATTGGCTGGATTTGCAGAACTTTTGCAATTTTGGTTTACAGTTGCAGAGCTGGCATAGGTTTGAACATTTATACGATAAAAATATGCTTGTCGTTTCAAAATGTCATGTCGAAATCACGTGAAATGTTAGTACCATTGTATAAAACCATAGTAAGGCCACACCTGGAATGCTAAATCCAGTTTTGGTCACCGTGTTACAAAAAAGATGTTGAAACTTTGGGGGAAAAAATGCAAAGAGCAACTCAGGTGATTAAAGGCAGTGGTGGAATTCAAAAACTTTTACCCCCGGTTCGGTGGGCATGGCTTGGCGGGTGTACTTTTGTGCACGTGTACACACTTTGCATGCTCGTGAGTGCCAAACACTCACTTTGCACAGGCGCAGAGGCAGTCCAACACATCCTCCTGTAAGCCTGCACTCGCCCTGTCACTTCAGCAGCTGCCATGCGGCCCTCCTGGGCCGTGCAAAGCAGCTGCGCTTCAAAAGCAGAAGATAAAGGTGAGTGTGGGAGCCTGGGCAGGCAGGTGGGCCCAACAGCAGAATGACGGAGAGAACCGGTTTGGTCTCCGCTGCTCATCGCCGCTGCTGGCTGGGCAGAACCAGGCCAAACCAGTAGCATACCACCACTGATTAAAGGCCTGGAGACGAAAACATATGAAGAATAGTTGCAGGAATTGGATATGGCTAGTCTAGAGAAAAGAAGGAGTAGAGGGGTTGCATGATAGCAGTATTCCAGTATTTGGGGGGGCTGCCACAAAGAGGACGGGGTCAACTTATTCTCCAAAGCACCTGAAGGCAGGACAAGAAGCAATGGATGGAAACTAATCAAGGAGGGAAGCAATGCGGAATTAAGGAGAAACTTCTTAACAATGAAGACAATTAACCAGTAGAAAAGCTTGCCACCACACCAGTTGGAGTGGGTGCTCCAACACTGGAGGTTTTTAAGAAGAGACTGGACAGCCACTTTTCTGAAATGGTATCTAGGTCTCCTGCTTGATCAGGGGGTTGGACTAGAAGATCTCCAAGGTCCCTTCCAGCTCTATTCTGATTTGTCTCACGGAATCAGATATTCAAATAACAAGGGAAACTGATATTTTTTTGAGATCAGCATTGGATTCCTTTTTCATCTCCAGATGAACTCAGGTGGAGACCCTACCATTTTTTAAAAAGACACACCCCAATTAGCAATGCTCAAAATAATCTTTCTACCCTACTTTCTCTGCCTGTCCTCATTTAACTTGATGATACTAGATGACTTTTAAGGTTCAGTTAGGGAATGGTAGAACTCACAACAACACTGTGTCTCCTACCAGGCTCCTGTGTCTGGGGGTTTCTGCTCCCTTAGGGCTGGGGTTGGATTCACCGGTTCGGACCGGTTCGGATGAACCGGATGTTAAACTTATATCTGGTTCGCCAAACTAATAGTTGAACCGGCCAGCTGGCCCCGCCTGCCCCTCCCCTCCCCCCTCCCATGGCCCGTTTTGGATGCAGGTAAGTGCAGGGTCCTTACGGAGGCTCTGGGAGTGGGGAAAACGGCCCTCCCAGAAGTTCCGGAAGTCTGGAAATGGGCCTGTTTCCAGCTTCCAGAGAGCCTCTGGAGGCTGTTTTCACTCTCCCAGAGGCCCGAGGGAAAAAGCCTCTGGACTCTGGGGAAGGCAAAAAAAGGGTCTTCCCAGAATTTCCAGTAGCCCATGCCCACCAAGGCCACGGCCACCCATTTTTGAATCCCACCCCTGCTTAGGGCCACAAGGAAAAGCCCACTCACACCAATCCAGATGTGGAGAAGTTCGCACATAAAAGGCAGACGGCATCCTTCACTCTCCTGTATTTCTGCTTCCTCCCATCTGTCTTCTGGGAGACAGACAATTATCCTGTCTCCCTTAAATGCCTCCAATTGCTTTTTAAAGCATTGGAAATCTGCACTTGTCAATCCATCTTGTGATAGGGAGCTTCATACCTCAAGTGTCTATTGTCAGTCTTGGAAGACATTTTCTACTTGGTAGCTTCGAGGCTGCCACATTCAGTGCCTGGGAATTTGGGGGGGGGGATTTCATAGTGGGGTAGAAGATTAGACACAACAACCCTCTTTCTCAGAGAGTCAAGGACATGTCTCCCTGCACCTGGAGGGGAGTGACTGGGGGAATGTCTCAAGTTGGGATGAAGTTTTGATTGGGTATGATTTGAATTCTCTTTTGGGAAGGGAAAACCCAGAACTCTCAGATTCAGGTTTTCCCAGATGTGCCAATATGACAACTCTAATAAAATGGAAATTTGAGAAGATGCTTGTCACAGAGTTTATTGGTTTGGAGTTGATTAGTTGGAACGCTGGCATTTATTAGGAAGCATATGCATATAAGACTGATGGTCTTTTCTTTTTTTAAAAAAATATTTTTTATTAATTTTCCAAAATTTAAAAAAACATAAAATAAAACTATATGCATTGTTTTCATCATCAAGACGTCTTTCACATTTCCTTACATTTTTCAATATATGGTTGCTTATTCCATTACTATTACATCTTGCTTTTGTTACAAGTCAATATACTTCATCTTGCACTTCAATCTTCTCTATAACATATATACATATTTACATACTTCCTTATTCTTTTCCTAATTGCCATTTTATTTTCTTTTTATTTCTAAACCACTCATACCAGGCATACCAGGCCCTATAGTGTATTGAATCTGTCTTTTAATTTCAGTGTAAGCCTGTCCATCTCTATACAGTCTATTATTTTCTTTATAACTATGCCTTCTGATGGTCTTTTCTGATGTATTATCTCAGTTTGGAATAGCCTCGTACAGCTGCTTCACTGCACTGCAGGCAGCTCTCACAGCTAAGTCGAAGCAGTTTTTTAATCTGCCTCGATATCTTAAATATAATGTCGTCTTTCCACCCGTCCTCAAACAGGTTGATTGATGTTGTGCTTACAGGAAGTCCTCGACTTACAATGGTTCATTTCGTGATGGTTCAAAGTTGCAGCAGCACTAAAAAATGCAGTGGTGGGATTCAAAATTTTTTAATACTGGTTCTGTGGGCGTGGCTTGGTGGGCGTGGTGTGGCTTGGTGGGTGTGGTTTGGTGGGCGTGGCAGGGGAAGGAAACTGCAAAATCCCCATTCCCTCCCCACCCCACTAACCTGCTCTCCAGCTCTGTTCTCCTGTGCAGGGCAACACAAGAAGACCCAGCCAATCAGCTGGGACTCGGGAGGCAGAGAATAGATGGGGACTGGGCCAGTCAGAGGTGGTATTTACCAGTTCTCCGAACTACTCAAAATTTCCGCTACTGGTTCTCCAGAACCGTTCAGAACCTGCTGAATACCACCTCTGCTTCAGAAGTTGTAGGAGAAGAAGGAGGAGGAGGAGGAGGAGGAGGAGGAGGAGAGGAAGGAGAGGAAGGAGAGGAAGGAGAGGAAGGAGAAGGAGAAGGAGAAGGAGAAGGAGAAGGAGAAGGAGAAGGAGAAGAAGAAGAAGAAGAAGAAGAAGAAGAAGAAGAAGTAATAATCTTTGCTTTCAGATGCTTCACATTTATGCACCAAGCACGTTTCTTCTGGTAAGGCAAGCGTCAGAGGCTACAAGAACTCTGCTATGTGTAGCATCTTTGAAAACAAATGTTGGCAAAGAGCCATGGGAAAAAAAAAAGGCTGCGTAAATAACCCTGAAAGGCTTCTTTTTCATTGTTGAGCTGGTGGTGACTAATTAGGGAAAGAAATCTCTGTCTGGACAGTGCTGGACAACTCGGTAAAAAACATCGTCTCAACGTGGCTGGCATTTAAAAAAGGAGAGAGTGTGTGGGGGAAAGAAATTTCCACATAGAGGGTTGATAGGAAGGAACATGATAGTTAAAACTGTCAGGATTGTAATAGCTTATAAATAAATCTATAAGGTGAGGTTTGGGAAAATCAAACTTGTGGTTTTCCACGTGACATATGTATAGAGTGTAAAACGTCCAGCCACATAAATGTGGTCAGGTCCACGGGCTTAGATATCCACTATTTAAAAATGAAGGAGAAGGAATATCTCAGAGCGAAATGGAATTTCAGAATGGAAAAGGAAAACATGCTGTCTAAGAGCATTTTCTGGAGGAAGAATAGTGGCAGGAGAGAAGCATTTCCTGCTTATGAACTTGTCAAAACTCATATCTGATCAGCTTGGGAAATCAGGATGCTCAACTTGACTGACTTTTGAACTGATCCAGTTCTAATGCTAATATTTATTTTGTGTATTTTTTAAAGAAATTTATATTGCCGCCTATTCACATATGGCGACTCAAGGCACCTTATACAAGAATATTGTTGTCAGAATCTGACTCTGTCAGAATCTGACTCTGAGGACGAAGATGAACGGCTGACAGGGTGTGGGAGTGTGGCTCCATTGGTTGTGGAAGAAATGGGGAAAGGCAAAGTCCGGCTGGGCAGAGCAGGGAAGAGGTAGAACAAGGGAGAGGGAATTCAGAGGAAGACCCAGACCCATCCCCTCTTCATCCTAGGGCACGTAGGGAGGAATGGAGAAGAGAGCAACGTTGGTTGCATGGCTTATGGGAGAGGAAAGGGCCCTGATTCCCTTCATTAGCCACACCTGGGAAGAGAGTTTAAAAGAAATACAAGCTGCGTGTGGCAGCTGCTGGGAGCAAACGAGAATTTATCTTGCATTGACTTTGCTTATCTGTATTCCTGGCATCTTTCCAACTGTGTGGAGTTATTGCTATGCCTTCACGTCTGGAATTCTTGTTCCTGCCCTGTCAAACTAATTACCTCATTTTGCCTTGATTGGACTTATAGTTACAGTTTTTGTTGACCACATTTTGGACTTGATTCTCTGCAGCCAAAGGTTGTTCCTGGGAGAGTTTTTCTCCAGCCAGAAGGTAACCAGCACATTGGGGGGAAAGTTGGAGCTAATAAAGGGACTCCTGCTGATTATCTGACTGTGTTGCCTTTGTGCCACATCCCGGGTCATCACAATTGTAATATGGCTAATGAGAGAGATTTAATCATGCGGGTGGTGAGATACATTCAGACAGATAGTCTTTGATTTACAACAACCGAGTTATTAATTTAACAACTACAGTGATTCACTTTGCAAATGTGGCAAGAAAAGTCATAAAATGTTCTAACACTGGGGTAGGTTTCAGAAGAGGCTGGACAGCCACTTGTCTGAAATGGCTCCTGCTTGATCAGGGGGCTAGACTAGAAGACCTCCAAGGTCCCTTCCAACTTCTATTCTGTTCCATTCCATTCATCAGGGAGAAAAATTATCTGTCTAACTTGGTTGCTAGGAGCTGAAAATAATAGCACGTAATCAACCAACTTAAAAAAAGGAAAAATAAATAAAAAGCCAGCAGAGGTATAATTTTCTTAAGAGACACCTTAAAAATGTTGCAAGTATCAAATGCTCTGGGGAATTAATTATGATCATTCCCACTATTATGATCATTCTTGGAGCAAATTTCATCTATGCAGACTGCTCCCTGGCAGGCTGTTAAATAAAACTTGGCCGCGCAATAGGAGAGTGGGTCACTCTGGTTGGCTAAAAATTGCTCCAAATTTGCTTTGGAGTAGAAGCATTGTGCAAAACCTTGAAGGGATCTTTATTTTCTATGGAGCCTGTGAACAGAGCTCTCCTTCAAAACCCCATTCAAAACTGCCAAGCACGGCTATACAGAGCAAAGTGAAATTTTCTAGTGTTTTGTTTTCTTCTACCAGTTTCCCCCTGAAACTGAGTGAGTCCAGAAGTATTTCATGAGAAGAGTACTACACTCCTCTGCTCGCAACCTATACCCTATATCACCAGGCTTGAAATTTTGGGCTTAGACAACCTTGAACTATGCCGCCTACAGCTGAGCTTAAGTGTAGTACACACAATTATCTGCTACGATGTCCTACCAGTCAATGAATACTTCAGCTTCAACTGCAACAATACAAGTGCACACAACAGATACAAACTCAAAGTAAACTGCTCCAAACTTGATTGCAGAAAGTACGACTTCAACAACCAAGTGGTCAATGCCTGGAACGCACTACCTGACTCTGTTGTTACATCCTCAAACCCTCCACTCCTTTAACCTCAAACTATCCACTATTGACCTCACCCCATTCCTAAGAGGTCTGTGCATAAGTGCACAATCGGGCCTACCGGCCCTGTCCTATTGTCTCCATTTATTCGCACCTATTTCCTGTATTCTTACTCATGTTTATACTTATACCTATGATCTTGTAAGCAATTGACAAATCAAAATAAAATAAATAAAACTCCCATGACTATTTGATCTTTCTGCAAAATGAGGATGGAGGAATGGAGAGCTAGATCCAGAAAGGTCCTCAAGACACACACACACACACACACATACACACACACATGAAGGGGCAACCATGATAATGTGATTGGGGCTCTGCTTATTTTTTTTTAAAAAAATGCATTATTTTTTAATGCAGTGCAATGGTTTGCATTGTGATCTGTTTCCTGTTTAACCTGCCCCTGCATAACCAATCTGTCTTCCTCTTCTTTCACCTGACCCCAATTTAAGTCTTCTGCTATCGCGCCATGCACTGATGAAGGGAACTTCAGCTCACAAGACCTTCTGCCTTTTATTCACATTTTCAGCTGGATGGGAGCACGACGGCTTAGTGGTTAGAGATGCTGAGCTTGTCAGTTGGAAAGCTGATGTCCCAGGTTCGAGACCTGAGTGCCGTGTGATGGGGTGAGCTCCTGTTATCTGCCCCAGCTAGCAATTGCATGTGCCAACCTAGCAGTTTGAAAACATGCAAATGTGAGTAGATAAATAGGTACCACTTGAGTGGGAAAATGTGAGT